ATTTTCGCTTTTAGCAGATTTTAAGTACCATTCGAATGCCTTCTTTTCATCATAAGGCACACCTATGCCATTTCGGTTTTTTGTCGTTTTCGGCACTTTTCCTTTTGTAGTTTTCGTACTGGCTCTTTGTAAGTATTTTAAATTTTTTTGTTACTTGTGTTTCGTTTCTTTTATATCGTTACTCATCATTCTTTCGCTAACTTTGGTTTTTTTCCGATAGGTCTTGTGACGGAACTCGCAACAGCTTCTTTGAAACTTACGCTACTTCGTGTGTTTGGACGTTAGTGTTAGTGTAGATTTTAGGGTTATATTAAAATAGACGTTGGGGTAAACATTAGGGTAGATGTATATAATTATGAAAGCTCTTGTCTAGTTAAGAATTTGCAAGCTGAAATGAAAATAAATAAAAATAAATAATTATATATTTGATTGAAATAAAACTTATGTGAAAATATTTTTGATTTTGATTTTTTTTTTTGATCGATTATTCGTAAATTCTTATATCAAATAGATTAACCAAAATCTTTACAGTAATGTTAAGAGTGATAAATTTTTAATCGATTAAATTCCTCTTTACACAGAAAGGAAATTTAATAGCCCTTTGCAAAAAAGTATTGATTCTTGATAATATTAATTAAGATTCTCATGTACTTCGATAGTTTAATCGATATTGCAGTATTGTGCAAAGTGATTAATTTATTCGCATTAAGAGCTTAAATTTAAATTTTAAATCAAAAAAATACTCTTATGAAAAGAGATTTTTCGTAATTAACGATAATTTTCATTCTTAAAACTACGCAGTTGTTTTGTAATTATCGTAGCGAATAATTAAGTCACCTGATACTGTATTACTGATTTAAAACATTATCGCTATATCAGTATATATGTATATTTGTCTTCTGCGCTACAAATCTGGCACTCATTTTGGACTTGCTTATTTTTTTTCGGCAGATCAAGCTTCGATTTTATTATTAAATCGCTATTGAGAAAGCCTCGAGTATGACATTTAGTAAAACGAGCATAGTTAAAAATCCGTTGATTGGCCAATTTTTTAAAATACAGTCTGACCTCATTATAATGGGAAACAAATTTTTGGTGATTATAAAAAGTTGTGACTAAATAAAGGTCAAATTTTATATGTTTTATAATAGCTAGACCAAAAAAATAGTAATTATAACAAGGTTGTGACTATATTGAGAGTGACTATAACGAGGTTAGACTGTATATTGAGAAATAGGCAAAATTAAAAGGCCTTAATAACTAATACTGCAAAAATAAAAATAAAAATAGAAAAATAAAAGAAAAAAAAAAAAAAAAGAATATTGCGAAATATATAAGAGTGTATATGGATGGGTTGGTTGTATTTTATATATAAGCTGTTAATCAAAAATCACATAATTTTGTATTTTTCAATTTATAAAATATAAAATTAAAAATTTATTTTAACTTTAAAATTTTTTAAAAAAATTAGGCAGTCGAGTCGAGCAGTTAAATCTCTTCTAAAGTTTAATATTATAAAACCAAAATTGGTTTTGTAAGTTACCATAAAATTGTCTAACCGCTTTTGATGTTCTAGCAAAAAAAAATTAATATAAGTCATGAGACTTTATATAGTTTATAAAAAAATAATTTTCTTAATTTGTATAATACACCAGATTGCCATGTTTGATTATCTTAAAAACGTTAAATTAGAGACCTTTAATAGTTTACTCAAAAGATTATAATTTATCGTTATTACATTTTAAGATTCTATATATTAATACCAAAATTTTAGTTACAGGAACATTCGAAAAAATTTAATGAAGTGAATCTATTATTCAGCAAAATGTTCGCTTAACCAACGTTCGCATTCCAATGCAGCCATACATCCAGATCCAGCACTTGTAATAGCTTGCCTATATTTTTTGTCTTTAACATCACCTGCAGCAAAAACACCTTCTATATTTGTACAAGTACTATCTGGTTTAGTGAGAATATAACCATCCTCATCTAAATCCAATTTTCCTTTAACTAAATCGGTAGCTGGCGCATGGCCAATAGCAAAGAATAAACCATTTACAGATAGTTCCTTTATTTCTTTAGTTTGGTTATTCTTGATCACCAAACTATTAAGTAATTCTCCATTGCCTTTACATTCAATAACTTCGGTATTCCATAAAACAGTAATTTTTGGATTGGTGAGCAATCGATTTGCCATAACTTTAGAAGCACGAAGTTTATCTCGACGAACCAATACGTAAACGTGAGACGCATATTTTGTAAGAAACAGAGATTCTTCGGCAGCAGAATCACCGCCACCAACTACAGCGAGAGGTTTGTTACGGAAAATAGGTACAGCGCCTTTAAGATAGTGTAAAATTAAATAAGTATGATATGAAACAGATATCAAAGTACG